ATTAAGGAGAGAGGCAGCACACTATTGTCTTTTTCACTGTGTTTCCATTCTTGCTTTACTCCCTCCCGAGTCAGATTTTATACATTTTATACTTGAAACAATAGATATTTATTTGTTTATATTTAGATTTATTATTTAAAAGTCAACAATTCCGACTTCTGCGCATCGGTGTCACACTGGAATAATCCCTAACATAAAATCGAGACCCATAAACGCTTGTTTGTAAAACACTGAACCCAAAATCAATGTATTGGGACATTTCAATCGATTATATAAACGAAAATCCATACGCAACATGAGACCGGTATCAGCCCACTCTTCCGCTCCCTTTTAAAGAGAAAGGGAGAGGGGTGGCGGGGTGGTGGTGGTGGTGTGGTGGGTAGAGAAAAGAAAAAGGAGAGAGTGCTTGTAGTGCCTGGGCTAAAACCGGAGACTGTCAATGCAGCACTTTGTCCCAGTCACTTAGATCAGGGCTTCTCCAACATTTTCATGTCTAGGACCCCCAAATGGACACACTTTATGCCATGGGTCCCCATTTAATTGGATTTTATCGCTGTTTGGGTTTTTCTTTCTGCTGTTGATTCAGAATTGTGTTATAAATTTAGTGAAGCCTTTGTTAAGACCTGTTCTCTAATTAAAATAATTTCAGGTTAATGAAATTAAACAGTTCTTTAATTGCCCCCGCATGGCCTTCACGGACCTTTGAAGATTCTTGAACCCCACTATTGAGAACCACAGGCTTACATGTCAAAGTGCTTCCAGATGCACAATGATGGTGCAAGTCCTGATGACAACAATTAGACAGAAAAGCGCCCTAATCAAACGAGGCCATACAGGATTACGTTGCATTTCAGGGGTCAAGGAGAACCGCTTCAGCCTCCCCAACCCACACTCAGACTGCACAACAAATATCACATTTCAGCATCACATAACCTACCCCAGCAACAATCATGCACTCCAGGAACGATAATCAGGTATGCAAATTCCCAGGAGCAGGCACGGGCATTATAGCAAGTGAGCACTGTCAGATGAGCTATTGCATAAATGTGCATTAATATGCAACATGATATGGAGGAGAGTAAGAAACAGGGGAGTGTTGAGGGGCGGAGGGGTAGGCGGGTAAAATAAAGAGGTGACAATCATGTAAAATTTACATGGGGCCACAGCTGCTAGGGCTCTTGAGCAGGGGTAGAGGTGGGCTGGAGATGGGGGGGTGGGATTATGAGACAGGGGAAGAGGAAGGGGTGGAGGTGCAGGGTGGTGGGTGGTGGGTCCGTGCAGCCGCTGGTGCCATTCTGCTTATGTGATAAGAGCAATAGATGGCCCCTGACTGTAAAGTCTTTACCCAGATGCTGGCGGGGCAGGGGCTGCAGAAGAACAAGTGTTGTGGCAAGCAAGAAGAAACAAAATAGAAACAAGAGAGGAGGAGAAGAGTGGCTTGGCAGACGTAGGCTCCCGCATTTTCGGGTCGCTCACGAGAGGAAATCAACAGTATAAGTGTAGGCACACGCCGAAAAACGCGCGCACACACACATACACTCCCCATGCGTGCCTCCCTCTGACACAACACACACCACCAGCACCACCACACTGTTTCCATTCAGTCTCACCTCACCCTGCTGCCCTCCTCCCACTTGGCCCTTTGCTCCTCCGATCTTTTTCATTGTTGATCCCTCTTTAATAGACACGCGTCCAGAGTGTCTCCCATATTTGGACTAAGGAATAAAAAAGCCCCTAAAACAGCTTGCTCATGATGTCCCAACACACACAACACACTTCTACTCGCCCCCATCTCTGTTCAACACCAACTTGTATTGATTATCACTCAGATCCACTTGCACTTATAAACCTGTAAAGCTGCCGTGGATGGGAACTGGCTTCGCAGGAAAAGGAAATTAACTGGCTGCAACCGAAATAGTGATGGAAACAACCCGAATGACTTTCAATTAGTAATTCAAAAAAATGAAAATCCAGTGAAATATGCAACGTGGTTAAAATCTTACATTTTAAATTGTGGGAATACAATAATAATAATAATAATAATAATAATAATAAATTAACGCAATGTGTCATGTGAAATCTAAAGGAAGGCCTAATGACCTCATAAAAGTAAGACTGTTATGCTGAACTTGCACATGTGTATTTAGTGCTCCTAGAGGCTCTTTTCAGATCTCTCTCTCTATCTCTGAAGGACTGTCACCACTTCACCTTTCCACCCCATCCTCCATCCATCCACGACCCCCTCCCCCCTCCCCCCTCCTCTGACTCTCAACGGGCCATCCCAGCAAGGCAAATGATCCGGTCAGTACAGAGAAATCAGTTCTGCGGCAACAGATTGACATCTCGACATCCAGGGGGGAACGTTAGAAGTCCCATAGCCAGTGCTGGACGCATCACTCAAAAAGTAACAAATAGACCCTACATCTGGGGCGCAGGTCCTACTAAATTATCTTCCTGTGGATAAGTAAAAAAATTAAATAAAAAAGGCGGCTGTATTTTAAGAATTCCATCTTAATTTGACCTACATATCTTAAAAATCAGGTTATGTTTTCATATAATTTCAGTTCCGTTACAAAATGAATGACTTATTTTTAATTGTCATACTTTGACAAAACAGATGAGTATTTGTTTCACTACTTTTTTACAAAGCAAATGCCACCCGACACTGTCGTCAGCTCGGAACTTGTACAGCCAGTCGATCTCCTGCCTGGACACTATATATAGCGCTCCAACCAAGTCAACCGGAGGTGCGATGATAATTGCGTAAATGCGCACGGATTAGCGAACGCGGCTCAGACAATTTGGCAACGCTTGGAGCAATAGAAAGAGAGGGGAGAGAGTGGCGTCATTTTTTGAGGTGTGCAGTGACCCTGAAAGATACTGGGTGGCTTCATCACTGCATTTGAAGAGTCCCTGTGAGGGCTCTTCAACCTCCTTTCCTATAGTGACCATCATAAAACAGGATGACCTGAATTCAAGCAGCCATTTCTGCGAGCATCTACCATGCCGAAGTGTCACTGAGCAAGACACTGAGTTTCTCACAGTTCCAGGCGTCTGCTTTGTAGATGACTGCGTCGGGGGCACAGGACAGAAGGTTTTCTTTGTGGAAATCAAAACAGTTTAATAGTATAATATATATAAACAAATGGAAAGAGTGAAAGAAGGACAGCCAATAATTATTTTAAAAGCTTGTAAAACTTTAGCTGATGAGTAAAATGAGGTTGTTCTTGTTGTTCTTTAAACGAATTAATATTTAAATTAAGATGAAATTTCCATCACTAACTGCTGGTCAGGTTTTTGGGGAAAAGCAACAAAATAAATATTCAATTATTCAATATTAACCACTAGAATGAATATTTAAAATGTGTTTTACACTTCCTCACAAATTTCATACCTGCATTTTTAGTCCAGTCCTACTGAAGAGGTGGATGTCAGAGCAAGGGAGAAATGATTTTGTATTATAACATAAAGTCAGTATCATTTTTATGGAATAAACCCCATAGCTTAAGTCATAATCAAACAAGCAAATTGAGGATAGCAGTGAATAGCAACCCCTCACACACACACACACACACACACACACACACACACACACACACACACACACACACACACACACACACACACAAACTCTTATGTTTTCAATTTGTGTTGAAATGTAGACATTTTCCCTTGGTTGCATAACTGCCATCTCTATCGCCCCTCCCTTCAATTAAATGCTATTTCTCCCAAACAAAATGTCAGAATTATTCCACACAGGGTAGTTCAACAGTGATTTGTTCTGAAAGCTATGTGTCTTTCTCTGAGATGCTGCGTGCATCTGTCTGTGTGTCCTGACCTCAATTCTAACTGGGTTCACAAAGGGATGGAAAAAAGGTGCCTAAAAATGCATTTAATTCACAATCAGCCCAGCTAAGCCTGGGATGACAAATCCTTTTAGAACGCCCAACAGTGAGATGTGAGATTATGAAACATAAACACACACACACACACACACACACAGAGCCTGTACTGAGTCATGCAAAAAAAGTGAATTGACACACCAAAGAAACTGTGGAAATTCCAAAATTCTACTGAAAAATTATACAAAGCTATTTTAAGACATGGTCTGATTTTTTGACAATTAAAAAATACCAGATGCATTTTCACATCCTTAAATTAGAAAGGAAAATCAAAATAAACCTCAAATATCTTTTTTGATAAATATACTATTTCTGTGGCCCACCAACGGTGATAACAAATCCTTAAATGAATAATATAGGTACATTATCAAACATATGTAATTTTTGTACTGATGTCTTATAGCAGCTAAGTGGAAAAATAAAATGTAATCAAAATACTAGATGATCTTGTTTTAAAAAAAAAAACATTTTGTAAAAATTATGTTTTTTCTGTACTTTTGACCACTTGTCAGTTTATTTAAATCAGAAGCACTGCTGGGCTCCAGTCATTTATCTTTTCAGTATATACACCACTTCATGGACACTGCACTCAAGTCCTTCTGCTCAGACAAATTCCAAGATGGCCGTGCACCTGCCGTGGAGGTGGATTGTCCCGATTACATGCCGGAATCACCTCAAGGCCTTTGTAAGCTACGAAGAGAATATACACCCCAAGTTGCTGGTTCAATGCTACTCAAAAAGCCTGTCGTTGACTGCCCCTTAGAAAGAAAGGATAAACCCGAGCAGTGTCTCCTCTCTCTCTCTCTCTCTCTTTCTCTCTTCCTCTCTCTCTCTCTCTCTCTCTCTCTCTCTCTCTCTCTCTCTCTCTCTCTCTCTCTCTCACGGTTTCTTTCTTTTTCTCTCCACTGCTCTCTCTGTCTCTCTCACCCCCTCTTTCACATCACAAGTGCTGAAATGCACCCCAGGGCCAAATCGCACAGAACAACCCCTCTGAGCCAGAGAAAAAAGCTGGAATCTGTTTGCCCTGATATTTCACTAGCACCAGCCAGGAGCGAGGGGAGAGAGAAAGGGAGAGGGAGAGAGAGGGGGGAAAGAGACTGGGGCAGAGAAAAAGGGATAGATGGGAAAACAGCAGACCAGGGTTGTATTTATTGGGGTGTGAGTGCCACGCTGTAGGCTGTGGGAGAGTGCAAGGTGTTGCTGTTAGGTGTGGTTGGGTTTACAGAAAGGTATAAGCATGCACAGATAGGATGGTGGAGGAAAAAAGAGGGAGAGATGGAAGGATTGGTCATGCACAAGGTAAGAGAGAGGCTTTGTTTGATTGTATGTGGGCGAGGGGGTGAGGTGGGGATGACGGGACGGGGAGGAGGGGGCTAAAGCTGTCGTCTGCGGGGTCATTATTATTGCAGGCAATCTGTGTGTGTGCTTGTGTATGTGTATTTGTGTGTTTCTAAGAGAGACAAGGAGAGATGAGGAGATATGAGATTCAGCTGTGGAGTCATTATTTTTTCTGAAGCATGTCACGAGGCTAACAGAAGGCTTGAAGCCATACACCTTTTGATGTCACTGATTACGCAGGCTCATTTGCATACTTCAAAAGAATTTGTGACACTGGTACCAGCTGAAGCACTGACTAATGTGTCTGTGCCACCTATTGAGATCTACTGATTTGAGTGTGAGGACTAATACAAAATATGGCATCCAAATGGACAAGTATAAAATTGCAAACACAAGCAGGCCTTGGTGATTAACACCTCTCCCACTTTCTCAAAAAAACCCTAAAACAAAACAGACTATGTTAAGAGTATATAAGAACTAATAGGAATAAAGGGCAGAAAATATAAAAGGATGAAAGGCAGATTAGAAGACTAGAGTGGGAGAGAGGAGCATTTCTTGCAATTTCACCCAGTTTAACAGGAGAACAGTTAACAGGCATCAATCAAGAGGTGTCAGGCAGCTGCTCAATCTGGGCAGTGGTCCTCTTCACAAATGACTGATTAGCAAGCTAAAATCACCAGATCCATCTTCTGACGGTCACTTTTATTACAGTCATTTTTAAAGTGACAGCAACCTTCCTTGTCTCACCATACTAGCCACCACATAAATATTCTCATCTTCTCTCCCCCTCTCTCTGCATTTGTCTTCCTTTCACATTTTTTGCTGAGTGTTTGGTCACCCACTCTCCTTTTGTTTCCTCATCCTCCTCATTTTGTCTTCTTTTAACTACTTTTATCTGATGTTCTCTCTGTTTTCCTCCAATCTCCCCAACCCTGTTGGTCCCATTCTCTGCTGGCCAGGCTGAAGAGAAGAAGGGTCAGGGAGGTGTGGAGAGAGAAGAGAAAATGAGGCTCCTTCCTCTTCCATTGTTTGAAAGGTGTGTTCTTGTTCACTCTCCATAGATGGCAAGAAATTCATGCACAGTTCCCCTGCTGTCTTCCATTGTAGGAGCGATTCTCCATTGGCAAACACAGGATGAATGTAAATGAAGCAGATGTGGTGTGGAGTGTGTTGGTCTCAGCTGCATTTATATGGCTGCATTCTGAAGATGGCATATCAAGACACAACCAGGGCAATATTAAGGTTGGAGGCCTGGGAGTTTTCTGGGGTCAAGATACAATAATATGTTGTTGGAAAAGGGGTGTAGGAGACTGGACTGGGTAAAATTTTGTTTTAGGGCTTGCCAGTCAAATTTCCTTTCCTGTCCCAGTTTGCTCACAGCCTGTATTCAAAATAAATCATTGCATCAAATAATCATCATGCAATCATTCAAAATGGTAGCTGAGTTATGTTTACCCAACGGCTTCAGTGTGTGTGTGTATGTGGATGTGTATGAGGCCAGACTCTAAGCAGCACTCCTGTGTGTTGGCAGGAGATATGCTAATCGCAGCTGACATCAATCTGAAAAACATCAGCCAAAGTAACGTGTCTAAAATTACATTTACAACCTTCTGAGCAAAGAGGGACAGAGTGTGCACTCTCTCTCTTTCTGTCACACGCACACACACACAAACAAACACACACACACACACACATTTGTTTCTTTTACTCATGGGGACTCTTCATTGACTTAAATTAAATTTCTGGAGACTTATTGTAACCTTAACACTACATTCTTAACCCTGACCTTAAACTAAGATGTAACCCCAAAATTCAGTGGTTTACATGGTGGGGTCCAGCATCTGGTCCCCAGTCAGAAAGATCAAGTCCCCACAGTGTGAGTGTGTAGTAAGGTTTCTGTCCCCACAGTGTAAATAATAACAGGTGTATATTTGTATACATATTTGTACTTCTATTTTTGTGAGGACACTCACTGACATAATGCATTCTCTAGCCCTGTACCCTAACCTTAACCATCAGAACTAAATTCCTAACCATAACCCCTGCCCTAAAGCCGACCAGACGCTGTATGAGGTTTATTGATCATTTACGATGTGTGAACTCACACTATACTTTTAAATCAGCCTGACCACATGGCCAGAATCTACAACTTCACAGCTCACACTGTACGTTCACTCAGTCGGGCACAATGTGGGTGCTCACACTGGCTGTTTAAACAGAACCCTTGAGCAGGGGTTTTCACTGACAACTCCAGTAAAGTTGAGGTCAGCCAAAAGAAAAACATTGTTACCTTTATCTGTTTCATTTTGTACAGTTGATGAACAGTGGCAATCTGCTGTCAATATTTCTCCTGTTGCTGCAGATCATGACGTTTTGATGACACATTGTACAGTGTGGTTCTGCCAGAGCTCGATTAGCCTCATCCCTTTACAGTTTATTATATGCAGTCTATAGCGCCATTTCAGTTTATTCTCTGCACAACATGTGATATCTCGTCTGTCAGGTTATGTTGTTGTCTTTGTACTCATGCAAGTGCACTGAACTAGCTTTGGACCAAGGATCTGTAACACAGCCTACCAGATTTCTGAAATGCCAGTAATCCATCCGAGTGGTCAGGAGGCAGATCGTTGGTTGTTCAGATGATAAAATGGGCACCGGAACCCTGTTCACACTGTATGCCAAACAACAACTGATCGGGCTGAAATTTGGTCTGACTGTAAAAGTAGTCAGCCGCGACTGAATCTGGTCTAAACTCGGGCTGAATCCGTACAGTTTCTGCTTGGCTTAACCCTAACCTAAACCTAGTTCTCTTCTGAACCCTAAAACCAACTCCTAACCCTCAAAAGGATGTTTTATATAGGAGGACCAGCCAAAATGTCCTAACTTTCCAAAAGTGTCCTCATTCTGTAGCAAGTACACAAACACACACACACTATATATAAGAAACAGCCTGCCATTTCCCCCAAAACAAATGAGCATGTCGAAATATTAAGGCTCAAATTTGAAGCTCTACAGTTTTCTGAAGTACAGATGTGTTGTTTGTTTTTCGTTACCTGCTTAAATACTGAAAGTTTTGAATATAAAGAAACAAAAGAGAGCAATTACTCTTTCCTTTGTTCAGGTGTTTAAAGTTAGGTGTATGAGTTCCTTCTTTTTCTTTTTAGGAGGGTCTTTTTCTTTAAAGGCTGTGATATGCATTAGATGACAACCTCCATCACAATTTATAGTGACGTACCTGAACATTAGAGTGACTCTGCTGTGTGAAAAATATGTGTCCTGCTAAACCCCATTTGGATAGGACCCTTAGATGTGTGTGCTGAGGAGGCAGACAGAAAGACATATATACACAGAAAATCATAGTAATGGTGCTAGCAGCTGTGGCTTGCTAAGTGAACCCATATGTCTGTAGATAGTGGATTGGTCTTCCCCAGAGCTTGGAATCAGATCTGTGTGTGTGTGTGTGTGTGTGTGTGTGTGTGTGTGTGTGTGTGTGTGTGTGAAAAACAGAGATTGTTTCTGTATGTTTGCATTTTAAAGTTCTTTCTCTCTCTCTCTATTTCTCTCAAAACACACACACACACACAGACTTCAACACTCAAGGTTCAGATTAATTTGTCTCAACTAAAAAGAATCACACACACACCCTTTACGTCTATCTGGAGGCCAATGGGGCAGTCAGGGGTCTGACAGTAAATTTGTCCCAAACATCCGCAAATAAAAAATTGCTGCAGCATTTTACCCTAGAAACATTTGATGACAAGCCGTAACTAGCGTGAAATTCCCCCCTAGATTAAATGTCCTAGGAGTTGTATTCCCATCTGGCAAATACATGCTTTATGTGAGCGTGTAAGACAGCACACACACACTGTAAACCTCATTCAAGGTTTACCCCTCAGCAGGGGCAAGGCGCAGGAAACAAAAGATACCTTTCTAAATTCACACGCAGACATACACACATACAGTACAGTGGTGCACAGACACAGTTCAATGCAAACACACTGACATAAGTGTATATATGTATATATACTGCTAAAAAAAATAAAGGGAACACAACATAAGGCATCCTAGATCTGAATGAATGACATATTCTTATTAAATACCTTGTTCATTACATAGTTGAATGTCTTATTTTCCCTTGTGTTCCCTTTATTTTTTTGAGAAGTGTATATAGCTACATACATTGGCATAGAGAAACACTGACTTACTTACAAAGGCGTTCTGACCGAAAACACACCAGGGGGCAAATCATAGCAGGAGACTTGTTGCGTGTTTGGCTGATTACCAGCTGATCAAATGCCAGAGAGAGAGCCTGCTCACACTCCCACTTGTATCCTCCTACACACACACACACACACACACCTTTGTTTGTTGGGTGGCCAGCATACTTACCATAATAACTTTATGTTTTCTACATTTTTTTCCCAGTTTGGGTCTTTATTTTTGTCTCAGCTGGAAAAAGAATTACTGCTGGCCCTGTCAAGCACAGAAGATCAAAACAGGTCTCAAGACACAAAAACTGCTCACGACAACACTGAAGTTAGGAGGAAAATAAACAGGTGCATAGATTAATAAGATATCAAAAATATACTGTATATTACTTTTAGCAGAACCATGGCATGGTCTTCTGGTTGTCTGTCCATACAGCCCAAGAGTCTTGAGGGATTGTTGCAACCTGCAAGGAAGTGGTCATGTGATTTACAGAGCTGGCCAAATATGCTCATTTTCAATAGTCTTGCTAGGTTGTTGGCTTATACTGTAGAAGAAGTAATCATAGAAGATCCCAACTGGCCTTGAAAAGCTTGTAAAAGTCATAAAACTATGGAAAAAATATGAAAGTTTATTTTTTCTCCTCTGTTTTGTTTTGACAAATTATGATTTACAAGAATTTTCTGATTGTCATGAGAGCAACTTGTAGCAAGCTGACCGCTCTCCAAAATATATCCATTATGAATTGTGATGCAAACAAAACTTTGGGATAATTGTGTTTTGAAACCCACTAGTGAGCAGAACTGTTCTCACATGGGTGCTACTAACAGACCTCTCTACACAGCAGGAAAGCCCAGGACTTGGTCTGGACCTCCCCTCAACAAATGTGATTTCTAGCCTACCCTGCTCTAATTGGGGCAAAAGCCTTGAACCTCAGCTTTGTAACTGTGAAGATTAACTTGGAGTTCCTTGTGCAGTTCAGGAATACTGTGAAGAACACTGTGATGATCGGAATGAAGTAAAAAAGAACAGAGTCCTGGCGCTTTCTTTCACATGCCTCCCACGTTTCCATGAGTTCAAGGCCACATATGCTGCATGCAGTGGATACAGAGGCTGTGATTCTGTTGTATAAGTTCTGTATCAGGTGTAATGTCTCTCATAATATTTCCCACAGAAGCTGAGGTGAACAGTGAGTGTCTTCAGTGAGATAACCTTTGCTTGCCAGTCTCAGTACAGCGGAGTTCAGGGCGGAGTACGGGGGGGGGGGGGAGACAATCAGGGGAACCATATTCCAGTACCTTTAGTGACCCCACACTTCTGGTGAGGGAGAACAGTATAATCCAAGCTGCCTGTTGTCCAGTGTCCCACTTGTCCAGACCTTCTACAGTATGAAGTATGAAGAGTGTAATTTCTGTGCTGACTCATATTAAAACGGAGGTGTTGCACTGAAGTGCATACAATTGTACAGGTATGACTATTAAAGTGGCCAGGCAGTGTATTTAGCTTTTGCTTGTTTAATTACTGATTTACAGTATGTTGGTGTTGCACTGGACACAGTGTCCACAGCCTTTTGCTTGACTGATGTTCATTTGTGCTTGTGTGCTATTTTCCAATTGATTATAGTGAGCCTATAATAGTGGAAGATGTTTGGTAGTCTACTGTTTGCACAAGCGACTGGTTGCCCTTTTATGGGAACTGAATTATGTGAGTATGGTCTGCCTGGGCACACTGCTGTGTTGTTCCACCATTGGTTGACACCCTATTGAGTCAGCAGGGTTTCAGCTAGAATTTAATCCTAGTTTCAAGTCGGTAGAATTATTTGGTTTCTCA